CCTCTCGGAAAAGTTAAAAACTGTGCCACTCAACCCTTATATCATAAATTGGTATTTAAATTTTCTAAAGAATAGAAAGCAAAGAGTCGTTTGTAACAATTTTTGTGGAGAATGGATGGATGTTAATAAGGGTACAAGTTACGCTCCCCTGTGTTGTACCGTACAACACAGGGGAGCGTAAGTGCCCCCTACCTTTTTAATATTTTCCTAAATGATTTAGAGGTGGACATAGACGGCGAGAACGCTCTTTTTAAATATGCGGACGATTCAAATATAATAGTGCCAGTTTGGAGTGGGGTCCTGATACATCAACAGATACAGTTGGACAATTCCTGAGCTGGTCTGATGATAATTTTATGACTTGTAACCCTGGTAAATGTAAAGAGCTTATCATCCGGAAGAAGGGATATAATGATCAACTTGACAATGTTTATAATATACCCCAATGCAAAGAACTTTCCATTTTAAGTACTACTTTTCAAGACAATCTCAAGTTCACCAGTCATGTGCGAGGTAAATTGGTCAAAGCAAACAAATGCTTGTACGTTATACGAACACTCAGGGCAGAAGGCTATAGCCAATGTGAGATAGATTACTCTATTTAAGACCCTAGTAATATCTACTATAACGTTTGGCCTGTCCGTCTACGGTTCTTCTCCAGCCGAACTCAATACTCTACAACGGTTTTTTGACAGATGTTTTAAGCGAAAGTATATATCAGAACCTGTAAATATTAGATATCTTTTAGAAATACAAGACAGAAATATTTTTAAGGCTTCTGTAAATCAGAAGAGTGCCATAGTCGACTTGATACCAAGAAAAAAATCCACAAGCTACTCTTTGAGGACAGAGTTTAGTCAGTATCGGTCAGTATCCAAGAGTGAACACGGAACGTTTTAAATTGTCGTTTGCAAATAGATTAATTTTTAACTATAACCTATTCATATGATGTAAACTTTACTAATGTATTCTTAATATATACTTGTAACATAAGATATGTATTTTTATCTTTTGATCTATTAAAAAGACTTTTGAATTGAATTGAATTGAATTGAAAGTATATTTATTTACTTGTATTTCACGTTTTAATGCCACAATTCCCTAAAAAGATCGGTGACCCCCGTTTTTTAACTGATAATTTATTTCTTTAATGCATTTTACATTTCAAATCCGAAATTAAAAGAAAAATCATTTCTGGTTCTTGAAAAAAAAAATGCTATATCAATGCATGTTCTCCGAAGAAAGTTATGTAAAGAAATGTGCAAAAGACATTTGTGGATCAGAATTGTACACGTTAGTAGTTTCATTTTGCTCAAAACACAATATTTTTTCAAAATAATTACAACATAGGTTTACTAAAGCAAAATCCGCGCTAAAAACGTCAATAAATATCGGGCTGTTGTGAGTTTGCTGTTACTCGTAATGAGCGTCAAGATGGCGCCATATCGGGGTAAAGGTGGTATATTGTGATTGTCATATCTTCTTAATGAGTTCGGTGAACCTGACTTTTTTGTGTGATTTTACTTTAACTCCATGCCTGGGAAGTTTCAGCACATTCTCATTTCGGGAACAATTACTTTGGTCAGTTTCAAGACACGTGGAATTTTTAAAACCGTTGCGCGAAAATATCGCATCCAGGAGCAAGTCTAAGAAAATCGCCGATCCGGAAAAGTGAAAACAACTGCTGGAAACACATCGTTCCTGTATTTCCCGCCAAATGTTCGAAAATGGCGGCAAAACAAATGGATATAAAGACAGAATGCATCAACGAAGAAAATGAAGAAATCCCTGAGAAAAAATTAAACGATTCTGAGACTCAACCATGCATGGTTAAGAAACGAAGCGATTACTTACATTGGGATGAATATTTTATGGCTGTTGCATTTTTGTCAGCCCAAAGAAGTAAAGATCCTAACTCCCAAGTTGGAGCATGCATTGTAAATGAAGAAAAAAAGATAGTGGGAATTGGTTATAATGGAATGCCAAATGGTTGTAGCGATGATACCTTACCTTGGGCAAGGAAAGCTGATGATGATCTAGATACCAAATATCCTTATGGTTTGTATTTTGCCACGTCGTAATAGAGCTTTATCTCGCTTAATTTTGAGTTGATTTAAAATTTGATGGTGGGTAGCACTTTATAAATTTCAGAAATTATGAAACGAGCAGGTCAATATTAAGACAATATTAATAGTACAAAAAATTTGGTGGCTTTAGTTGGAAAACTGTGATGCTGGGGGCTATTTTTATTGTAATATATGGGGATTTACATGGGATTGGTGGAGGTGGACAGGATTCTATGCACAATTCTCATATATTTCCAATTATATTTTCTGTTTTTAGAAACAATCGTACTACCACATTCTTAAAATAACGAAGTGACTATATGACCGGCAGCCGGTCACAGTTTATCAAATACTAAATGGCCGGCAGTCTAGTGACTATTGTTAAAGTTGAATTTTTATAAGATAAACCTATCCCCAACCCCAAACCCTTTTCTAACCCTAACCCCTAACCCTAACCTTTTGAGAGTTAGAAAAGTCGGGAAAAAAAGTTTAAAAAATTTTAAGAAAAAACAATGGTAAGTCAGACAAAACACATCCCCACCCCGACTGCGTTTAACTTTCCGCACGCAGCGCCCTTGCCGTATGAGCTAACGGCAAGCTCAATAAAAGTTAACGCAAATAAAAGTTTTTATATTCAACTATAGTGACTAGACTGCCGGCCATTTAGTATTTGATAAACCGTGACCGGCTGCCGGTCATATAGTCACTTTGTTAAAATAAAGTCACCAAATTTTGTGTACTTGCTAATTTTGACTGGGTCTTCATTCCTGGTATTTATAGACTGCTAACACAAAATTGAAATTTACTCAAAATGGGTTGTTCCAGAAAATATCCACACTGTCTCCACAGAGGAAATTTCTGCCGAAGGGGAGGGGGGGAAAGTTTGTTTTTGATATTAGTAAATAGTAAGTGTATTAGGACATCCAAAGGGGGTTAGCTTCCAATTTCCTCTATGGGGGTGATATGGATGTTTTACAGAATGACTTGATGTGATAAAGGTCTATTACTATTGAGCTGCAATGATCAATGTAGTGCCCCCCCCCCCCCATGGTGAGGGCTGCCTCCATCATCCAGGAGGCGAAAGGGATGTGTATATTAAACGGTGGCCCAATGTACCCTATAGTTGGGGTAGCCAGGTGGGCTATCTCATACATAGGAAAGCCCTTCTACCCATTACTAAATGAATATTTTCTTTCTAGTGTGCCATGCAGAGATGAATGCAATTTTAAACAAAAATTCATCAGATGTGAAAGGATGTACAATATATGTGGCATTGTTTCCATGCAATGAATGTGCAAAATTAATAATTCAATCTGGTATTAAAAAAATTGTTTACCTATCAGATAAATATCATCATCAACCAAATATGAAAGCTTCAAGAATATTACTTGATATGGCCAAAATTAAATATGTGTAAGTATGACTTATTACCAAAATCCTTTCTCTCGCTTGAAAAACAGTGCAATATTTTCACGTCAAAACATCAAGGAATGTTGTTGTGAAATTGACATCATGGGAATGGTGATATCTAAAAATAGTTTCACATTTTAACAATAGTCGTATTCCTGAATGTTTTGATACAAAAACATGACATGTTTTTTCCAGTGACAGTAATCATCCACAGCTTTGGCAATAGCGGTTTTTCCAGAAAACATTCCTAGGTTAACTGTCTGGTTAGTGATATTATGGTAAACACTGTATGGTATGCCCAAGGGAAGAATTTCTTTCTTTGGTTAACTCTCAACAAACCAAAGAATTATAAAAGAGATGTTTTTGGGTGCCTGAGGTATGACAGAAGTTTGACACTAACCAGGTGTAAAAAAAAATACCTGTAGTTCCGGTTTCATATCGTGAAAAAATTAGGGTCGGTAGGTCGGAAATGTTTTTTTTAATATTTTTTTCATGGTTTTGGCGTTTTTTGCTGGGCGATTTGCAGTAGAGTCTCGACATCAATATTAACTAGAGATGCATATTTCCTATGGACGTATTTAGGCAATTTGGTTCAATAATTAGTGTGACAACAGACACCATTTTGGCACGCTGTATGAGCAGCCCGCAACCACCTGGAGAAAATAGGGTCGCACAGTCAATCGCGTTGGAAAAATAATAGGGTCGGCAGAAAAAAAATAGGGTCGGTCGGGAACTGGAACCACAGGTATTTTTTTTATGCCCCATGTCAAATCCAGTCTTTTTGGGCACACCTTTTTTGTTTGCAAGTACTGTACTTCCACACTGTGATTTCAGAGGACCCTGGGACCCTTATGACATATTTTTAATTTTTTCAAACAGCAATACCCAACAGGGGCCATCCTTTGAAAAGGGGAGCTAACAAGTATGCCAACTTGAAGGCCCTTAACTTGAGAAGTGTCCCCATCTAACTTTTGGCACACTCTTGAATCATCAAATTGGGGGGCAACCCTGTTTTAATAGACTGTGCACACCATGTATAGTAATGATACAGTTTTCAGCAATCCTGTTCCATAATTGCATTCAGTGATCAGATGTGCTTCATCAATTTTTTTTCCTTTAGAAAATTTGAACCAGAAAGGAAGACAATTTTGGTTGACTTCATGTCAATAGAGCAATCAACTCCATCAATCTCAAAAACTAAAACCTTCAAAGACGAGCTAGTGTAATAATGAATTTTGTCTGCTTTATTGTACAAAGTAATTGAGTGGTGTTGTATTATTTTCACTTCTGTATAAATGCAGTATATTGTCTCAGTAATAATCTTCAGGTTGATATTCTAATTCATTAATTCCTGGATATGGAAAGTATAACTATATTAAAGTTTGTGTCATCAATAAAACTATTATGCTATTTAAAATATTTAATCATTGTAATATGACATTGTAAAATGTAACAATAACTGTAGTCTAAAGATCTGAGGCTAATGATGGTACTTAGTTGATAAATGTGGAATTTATGCAATTTCAGGTATAACTGGATTGACCTTCCATTTAAAATATCCAGTCAACCAGGGGAGCACATGATTGTCCATTCTTCACATTCACAATATCTTCCTATCTCATATTATCTGGTGTATTTAAAGAGTTTAAATTGTGGCGTTGAAGGTTTTGCCATTCAGAATGCTCTATTCAATTATTGTCATGTGAAGAGTTTATTTAATTAAAAACAAAAGTTGCACATAGTGTTATCACAACAATCTGCACATCAATACATTCTTGACTTCTTACTATCTTGTTTACTTCTTGATCTGAAAAATAAAAATAAAATATATACCATACAGTGAAATTCGCTACAGCAAGAACCAAGCAACGGTTAATTACATGCACTCAACTCACTAGAACCCTTGGGGCTTGGGCCCTTGCAAACGTTCTTACGACTCGAATGCGCACCAACGAACATTTGCGCAAGAGACTACTTTTGGGTTTTTTCATCCAAATACATCAAAACAGTATACCATGTTATAGTCAGACTTGGCTTGGATCTGTACAATTTTTACTTTCCCTAACCTATTTATCCTCGACCACCTGTGGGGGGGGGGGGGAGAAAACCCATCAAGTTTGGGAGAGTGTTGAATGACTCTTTCCACATAAGTGCAGCTACAAACAAGAATTGTACCCTACGTTCAAGTTCTGGCCTCACCTGTCATCGCCTCCGTCCGTTTTTCGTTTTGAAATAATCTTAAAATTAACAAAAAGGTAACAGTTACACTCAGTTTCAAACGCTTTCAAAAGCGCCGTTTGGCGTCAAGCCCATTAAACCAAATCTTGGCAATTTGATTGGTTAGCGAAAAAATTGGATCAGTTCCTACTTTTTTACTGTTGGCGCGAACAAATTCGCCTAGTGGAAAATGGGCTTTAGACAGTAAAATAATCTGGCGTTAAGCCCGTTCTCCACTACGCGAATTTGTTCGCGCGACGCGAAGCGAAAACCGAAATCCGGCAACGTGATTGGTCGGCGAAAAAATTCGCGGCGAAAAAGTAGAATCGCTTCCTACTTTTTATCTGTTCGCGCGAATAAATTCGCCTAGTGGAGAACGGGCTTTAGACAATATAATAAAGTAGGACGCATTAGGGTGCCATGCAAATTAATGGAAGCTTATTAAAATAAGATTTAACTATCACATGCAAATGAGTCCAATGCAGACTACACGCAAAGTTTATAATATTTTAACACTGTCAATAAAGAACATCGAATACAATGTCATAAAGAGTTGATTAACGGATGTGGGTTTTTTCTTTCTATTCACAGTTTATATAGCAAACTAAATCACGTTACATGTACCTGACTGATTTTGTTCCAATCTCTGTCCAATTTCGCCTTCTCATCTTTTGGGCCTGTTCTTCTTGTTTTTCGTCCGTCACTCATCTTTACACCAAACTGGAAAGCAGCTCTAAAATCAGGATGAAAATTAAGTTTCCAAAGTGATTCATTTGATCACGGAGACAAAAGAAGATTTGAATTTATTGTTACGACTTTGAGGCGCTTTTTACAAATCCAACCCACAAAAAAATCTTCGAGACACAGGAACTACGTTTTAATGCACTTTTCCAAGAAGATGTGATCCAACCATTCAGCAATTGTAGCCTTTTTCTTCGCCAATTATTTGAACTAGTGAGTTTTTGCGCAATATTCAGTAGTGATGCACCGATATGGAAATTCACCGATATCCCGATAACCGATATTGAAGGACCGATATTTTGCCGATACCAAATTTTTCCAATAACACGTGAGAAAATGAACAAAATGGTGGCAATGATCAGCGTAAACGTTCCAACTTACTTTGGTAATGCTTCTCTACGTTCCATATAAGAATTGTATTCTTCTTCCGTCTCGAAATCCCATCTCTTGATAGGACCTTTTTTGTTACCCTATGAAGCACAAGAATATAAAGACAACTGTAATACTTGAAGAACATCAAGCAGACATATGTATCATGAAAATATGGTGTCGTGGTCATCACGCTTGCATTTCAAGCTGGTCCGGACCCGCGGGTTCAATACTCAAAGTCTTAAAATAACTGAGGAGAAAGAGCTACCTTTTAATACATTGACATCAGTAAATGCATAGTTAGACTTTTGCGTCTGCTCGGATAAAGACGTTAAATCGTAGGTACCTGGGATACCCTATCAATTGTTGGGCAATAGCCTGTTGGGAAATCTGCTCGCTAATGAGTGAGAAACCCAATAAACTCAAAACTCAGACCCGTGTCTTAAAGCCATGCGGTCAATCCTCGCCTGCGCACCCAAGTATCCCGAAGTGGCTCGTCTTCATTGGGGATTCTATATACAAATTTGCATGAGTATTATACTTCCCAGCCTGATTTCGTTGGAAGGGTCTTCACTTGAAACGTCGAAGTTCTCCTTGTATTTTCCAGCTAGTTGTATCCCTGTCAATCCACAGCCTTCTAACCACACATTTAACTTATTATCCCAAACACGTGATAAATGTTATACGTCCCATATTGAAAAACAATTTCTCCTAGGGAGCTTCAAAATTGCCCGTTTCTTAGTGATTATAATCTCTATTATAGCCTTAGCAGCTTGTGGATATGAATGTTGTTTTGCGGTGTTTAAAAGAGAGGAATTGACATAATGGATTTCTTCGAATGACAGTGGACGTCCAATATATGTAATTTAATCAAATCAAAAGGCAAAAATCCCTACCATGTCCATTTTTGAGTAATCCACTTCTTCCTCACTGTCGTAGTTGTAATCTGCATCCATTCCTCTGTGGGGAAATGTGAATAGGAATCCACATAAGTTATAGGTTTCATTCTAAAATGGACTCAATTACGAAAGTTGAGCTACAGTGCAATCTACTATAGCACATGCATATGTAGGTATATACTGAATTTCCTTTATGTCAGTTCTGATAACACAGCTTTCTATCACGTTTGGTTAGCGGCTCCTCCGAAGGCATCGCTTTTAAATTGGCGGGCAGCATTTGCTTTCTAAAACCAAGCAACGCAGGTGAACCACGAGATTCCTGCGGAGGACGCTAACGTTTGGTATACTTATCGTCTGTTTGGTAATAGTATTACTATATCCCTGCACGGACAACTCTCCTTTTCCGAGGATCAAAAAGGTAAGCCTCACCCATCCCCCACTATTTTATTATCCTCAGCCCCAGGTTCAATTTTGATCCTACATAAGTGCATTGGTTTGCAACGTCTTTAAATTAAACAATGGTTTGTTGTTATCGCTCATACTTCGTTGGCAATGTTGCAATACCTACCCTGGATAACATTCACTGTAATGATCGTAACTTTCTTTTGATTTC